TGTTTTACACTTTGCAAAGCAGGCAGGAAAGAAAACATCTCCATATAATTTGCAGTGTTTTGCCATTATGCCTTGAGGCAGACAAACATATAACTCAACACCTTCCCAGGAAGGAGCTTGCCTGGCTGAAGGGATCACTGCACTGCCTCTGAGAGGGTGTCGTACTGGGCCTTCTGATGTTATGCAGTTGCAGAGCTTGCACTTTATGGTGGTGATTATAATTCTGAACTGTTTAATCAAAGACAGGAAGTTTACCTTGAGATACACATCTTCAGACACTCAAGATCTCATGTTTTCAGTTTGCGGTCCCTGCTGCCTTTACATTTTCTGTCAAGATTCTAGATGTAATCATTGTTTCCATCTGTCTTATTTAGGTCAGTACCAGTAAGCAAGAGAAAGGGTAAGTGTGGGCAGGATGCTGGACACTTTGTCAAATCCAACAAAAAAGAAACATCTTTTTTCTTTGCTTCTCTTTTTCTTGGACACTTCTTCACCCACAGTGATTCACAGATGCAAGCTGGTGAGTGTAACAGCAAACTAGGAAACCCTAGCACTGTGGAATAGAAAATAAGTTAAAGCAAATAAATAAAAATGTTACTCCCAACAGATCCAAGATAAGTAATTCTGACCAAATAATTCCAAAGTCTGCAGGGAAGAGTATGAAAATCGAGAATAGCTGAAGGCTATCTGGATGCAAAACTAGACAGGGTAACATTCCATAGGGAGGGGGAAGAAGAGTGGGCAGCCAAGCCTACTGCTGAGAGACCTTGCTCTGCTTCCAAATGATACAGAAGGGAAAGCTGCATCAGAAACAATGAATCCAGAACCTGAAGAACAAGAAGCAGATGGGAAACAGTACTCACCGACTACTTCAGTAATCACCTGGTGAGGACTTGCTAAGTACTTGTCCCTGGATCAGAAAAAACTTCCAGGCACTTAACAAGCTGGACAAGTCAGTTGAGAGAAGGAACTAAACCCACACTTTTGACAGGCTCCTTTACTTCCCTTTGGCCTTATCTATTCCACTATCACAGCCCTGTTTAAGAACTGCTGTGTAAAAATGAAGCATCTGTGCAAGAGTTTTCGAAGAAATAAACCCAGCCCTGACATCTACCTGGAGGGTAACACTGCAGCTCTCAGCCCCGTCCTCCCTACCGGTTTCCCTGCACTCCCACAGCACAGCAAGGTTTTATGCTGTGGTTCCATGAAAACTCCATTCACAACATTTGCAAATGTCCCTAGAATTACATCACCATACAAGTAAAATCATCACTCTTAAATTAACCATAAAACTTGGCTCCTTACTGAAGTGTGTTTGCAATAAAAAGATGTATGATGATACCATGAGACCTGTGACATCACATTCCAAGACTATTGCATTACATTGTTTCTGCAGTTGGCATCACAGCATTTCAAAAGTTTCATATCTGCCTGCTATTTTAGAAATTATTCTAAAAAATTCTCAAATTATCACACCACTTCAAAGGTAGTTCAGAAAACTGCAGTAGTTTGGTACCTCACCAAAAATATGCTTTAGGAATCACTGATGAGTACCAGGCTGAACAAGGTCCTAGAAATACTGGGCAGGTTGCAAGCACTATGCAGATCCTTTCCATTCTGTCTCTTAGGACTCCTTCATGCTCCTACTCTTCACTCCTTAGCATAACAACTTCAGGTGTCTATGTTCACACTTTGTGATGCTTCAGCAACAGAGGAATGGCCAGGAGCAGGCAGCTTTTTGAACAAAGAACCTGGATTTTGTGCTGAGTTTGGGAAAGGAAAAACATGGAAAGAAATTAACTAGAGACAATAAAAACCCCAAGCTCATTTGTTTTCAACGGTTGTTTTCTTTTTTTCTTTTAAATAGATTTACATGACTACTTAAGTGAGACAGAAAACTTCATTTCAGAACATCGCATTCAATTTTATTTAAAGAGCAACTTTATCTGAAGTATTCAACATGCAAGTGACAACACACACAGGATCACTTGCTTAGTCACAAGCGGGATGCTCGAAAGAAAAATCACACAATGTGCTTGAAAGGGACAAATTAAACTAGCATTTTGATAATGGGCTTAAAAAAGATACAACGTCAAAAAAAAAAGTAGGGAAAAGGAAGACATTTAGGAAGATATGAAGTTGTAGAAGAGTCAGTATGTAGGAAGCAGCTTGGAAATATGAAGAGAGGTGGGTAGGGAAGCAGGAAATAAAGATCTACCAAATAAGCCATTAAATCTAAATTGGAAAAGAGAATTTTAACCAACTCCAAAGATGAGACAACAATGAGACTGAAGGAGGAACAGTGTAATAATGAGGTAGAGCAAAAAAAGTAGACACTGTATAGTTCTTAACAGGGTTTGTTGACTGAGGTGAGCGTTCTGGAAGAACAGGTCACTGATATAAAAATCAAGGCACAAACACAGGTCTAAGCACCAGCATTTTTCATAAAATGTAAAAAAAGAAATTTTAGATGTCAAGTAACAGACACCTGAAAGGTTTCAGAGAAAAACTTCTGATGAAAGGAAACACTGGGACTTCAGTAGCAACTGAGAACTTGGTGAAGTGTTGACGGACAAGGGAAGAGGGGAGTACAGCCACAGGGACATTCATGGAAGTTGTACCTCATTTAATGCACGAGGCAGCATAAACTAGGCAGACAAAGAGAATTAAAAATATGAAGCAAGAATTCAATTAGCTGTCATAGCAGATAGACCTGAGTGGAGATCTGACACCCTTTGGTAGAGTATGAAGGAAAGAGGAGAGGTCAAAACCTGTAGCATTTGGCATGAACAGAAGAGGCAGAGATGAGTCACCCCAAGCAACCAAAATAAAAACAAAACAGTGAGAAAGCAGAGGGGGGGGGAAAAAAACCACAAACAAAAACATAATGGAAGAAAATTATTAATTTGAAATAAAAGCTGCTGAGAATCTAGGAGCAGAAGTAAACCCCTTGTTTCTAGATTGACATGTCTCTAAAAGCTTGTGAGGGTTCTGTTTAGTTGGCTACCCCATAGAAAGGCAAGAAGAAAAGGTTCAAAAAGCCAGGAAAACTAGGGGTAAATACAAGAATAATTCTAAACCAGTTTAGAACATCCTGAAGACACCAAGTACTGACAGGAGAAAGCTGGGGAGGGGAAAAAAAAAAAAAAGAGAAGAACGGGAAGACCTGAAGAACTGTACACAAAGATAAGCAGGAACAGCACAAAAGCAGAGGAAACAAGAACCTCTAAGACAAGAATCTTTTCAGTGCCTAGTCTCAGTTCATAGTAGGAAGGAACTGCAGTAACAAAGCTACAACATATAATAAGAAACTTGATAATCTTTGTTTTTTTCTTGATTTTTTTTTCCACTCTTGATGAAACTGTTCTGCCTCAACAGTGCTTTTTATTCTGAGGCACTTCTGTCCCAGGCTGAACTTGGGTTTGCAGCTCAGTGGCTCAGCTGATCAGCCATCCAAGCCCAATGTCATCTGAAATGTTGACATAAAAGTTTCAAGCTCCCCCAGAGGCATACAGCTGCTTTGCATGTCCAGGAACTCCTGCTAAACGATCTCCGTCAGTCACCCCAACACCAGACATACTCCTAGCAACAAGCAAGCAGTGTGCTGTGTTTGCAGCAGCAGGAACACACAGCACTGAGGGCAGTCACTCTGAGGACTTAGGACCTCCATACGCAGTACAAGACCCGCTGCAAAGCAATTTCCCAACATCATGCAAAGCATAAGGTAATTGAGATGAATACAGCAATAGCAGTGTGAAATCTAGTGTCCTTGACAACTAGGAGAACAGAGCAGATAATGTAAAAGCTTCATTTAGGCTCAAACTTCTGCACATAGCTGTCTTGGAAGGCAGTTTATACCTGCAGAAGTCCGCTCTGACCTACAGTAGCTTAACAACCTTGCTAGAGTAACACCACTGATGAGCTGTTTGACTTTTATACTTCAGAACATGTTTAGGCACACCTCCAAAGCTCAGTTCAGCTGGAATTAGCTGATGCATCACTCACACAGATAGAAAAGACCCACAGAGATTTCTGCTCCATGAAAACTGCTGGAGACACAGCACCTCTAGTTTCAATAGAGGGAACTTGAAAGGCGCTTAGATACAGTACAGTTGTGCTCAGCACAAACACTGGGATCCAAGAAGAAGAATGACAACTTTGCAAACTTCACTATGACACTAAGTAGCAAATGGGTGAAAGACAAAAGCACATTTTTCCATCTGCAGCCACAACATTCACAGATAAACTCCAAATATGGAGGTCCCTGGATCAGCTCCATGAGCTGCTCACTGGTGACAGAGGGCTAAAGCACAGCATTACAAATAGAAGCCTAAGCTTTGATACTGAAACCAAACTGAAATCCTGCCATCATTCACAAAAAGATGCTTTTCTCAGTTAAGAGGTTTTCTGTCACACAGGGCATTACAGAGCTAACTATGATGAAGAGGCTAACAGCCATGAGTATTATGTCTCTCCACCTTTTCAAAGACAATTTCAAAGTGACTGTCAGAATTATGTCTGGAAAAGAAGACATCCATGTAACAACAGCAGATGAACTGCTGGTTTCATTAGCAATCTTCTACTCAGATTACTCTGAAAACACAAAATAGCATTTGTGATTTATTTCAGGTGGAGATCTAATCTTAAGCTCCTTAAATGTGTGCCACAATTAGCTCCTATAACCAAGTACACCAAAGTTCTCTTCCAACCCTCTCCATTTAGCTTCTTTTTAAGGAGCCGTGGGATCTGTGCTTACCTCCCTCAGCTCACAGAAACAACTGCGTTGCTGACCTCGTCCTGAGAACCCCAACAGAGATCTAAGGAGGCTCCTTTGGCATCAAGACGAGGATGCTCCAGTTAGAACTATTTCCCCTACCTCGTTAGGGCAGTGGGAAGCCAGTCACAGTACCTTCATACACAGCGAGGGCGCTAAAGAGCGATGAGAGCTGCAGCGGCGATTCATGCTACCCGGTAAATGCACTAACAGAGGCCCAGCCAAGTCAATGTGCTAAATGGACAAGCAAGACGTTCTCTCCTCGAATGAAAATCTGGTTTATGTGGCGTGTGAACACCTGCTGATAATCCACTTTGGGTCGCCTTCTCTTCCGCGACTGGCTCCTCGCACGGGCACCACCGGCACTGGCCCCCTCTGTGTGGGCAGTCCCGCCACCCACCTCAGCTTCACCTCTGCCAGCCAGATGCAAACCATCACCTGGCACCTTCTTTTCTCCAGCTCTGCCCAAGCGTTTCTGCCTCTCACGTGCATCTTCTGCTCTCCCTCGTCCTGACCCAACTTTCAGTCCCAGTGTTTGAGAGTCATTTGTCAGGGCTAGCTCCTCGGAGACAGTCTTTGAGTCGGCTCCCTTCTTTACTGAGGAATCCTGCAGTCTGAGTCTGTCAAACAGCTGTGAAAGAACATTTGTGTTTATGACCACATTGATAAAACAAGAGGGGCTGCTTGTAGCATTTCTACACGATATCTGCATACATGATCCCAAATCAGAGCTCAAAATATACAATTAGTGAAGAATCTTTACCAGCAACAAAGACTACGCTTTCTTCCCGAAGTCAAACAGTGACATAAGGTGAACGGATCTCTTGCATGCACATGGATGTCTTTATGTGGGCAGTGAGGAATTTAATTTGGGGAGCAATACTGATGTGCAGCAGCACTTAGATAAGGGGCCTCCATCAGCAGAGAGTGCATACTGAAAAATTGATGGACCTTTTGTATTCCCAAAACAAACTAAAAGATGCCATGTGGGTATTCCGGGAGGTGTGCAGACCTCAAACAATAGAAAAACAATAAAAGCTAGAGCAGTAGATTCAAAGCATGGTATGAACTCATTAATCTACGAATACATGGTAGTGAATCTTATGAAACAGTGACAAAGAAAAAGGATTATTGGTTAGCCTGTCTCTTCCCAGCAACAGGGTGGAAAGCCAGTCCCTGTGAGAGCAGGCTGAGGGAACAATGACAACTTGATTATTTTTAACTAATCTTTAAAAAAGGAAGGGAGGGATCTATGAGAAAACATTTAAATGGCAGGAATTTGAAAGCAAATTCCTCACAATGAAACCATTTAAAAGTTTTTGTGACGCTTCTCTGAAGTTCAGAAGGCCCAGAGCTATGCTATTGAACAGGCACAGTCCTGTCACATTTTTTTTTAACTTCATTGTTCAGAAGTTGATCTATCATCTCCTCAGTTCTCAGCTTTCTAAACAACTTTTTTTTTTTTCAGCTGGATCCTAGAGAGTGTCTTGTTTTTCAGCAATATGCAGAATCTTGGATTTCACAGTACCTAGACCAGAGGTCCAAGTGACCAAACCGATGTACTGTTTCACCGGCTGGGGCTCTGTGAACATTAGTACCAGAGTTCTGCACTGCCAAACCACCTGGCAGGACAACAGCAGACCAGATCAATCATAGCTGCAAGAAATGCACGAAACAAATCAAATATTTCAAATGTAAATATAGTGTTCCAATCAATGCTCCTTTTCTACTGCTTTGAAAAAATAAATAATGAAAAAAAAAAAAGAGAAATGAAGAGAGTTACCTACCCGGGTTAGTGTGAGCTGAGGTTCTGCATAGAAAGCTTTGCCCATTACTGGTTTCCTGTATGTCTCATCCACATCTGTCAGGGCCTAGAAAAAGATAAAAGAAACTGAAAGATCGAAATTAAAAGAAAACATGAGGAAGTTTTGGACCAGCTTTGTGTCACAACATTATGAAATTTTGTTCTGAGAGAAACAATTTTGTTCTTTGTTCCATCCTAGGAACAAGCTGTGCTTTGGAGCCGATTTCTTAATCATCCAAGTTGTACTGAAGTATAAAAGCAAGAGCAAAGCCTAGCATCCACGCTGCACTTTTTGCAAAATCTTTGTGAGCCTTGCCTGAAAAGCTCTTTTCACTGCCATTTCCAAAACCTTCACAGCTCCAGACTCATAGATATTTAAGAGTTGCTTTTCCATCCACTGTCTTTAAGATTTTCATAAGGTAGAACACAGGGATAAGCTTTTGTTACTGACAACCCAGTGACAATTTAGTGAGAGAAAGTAGAGAAGCGGCTCCCCCTGCAAGATTTGGTTTTGCAGAGAAAACTTTGGAAGCTTCTGATATTCATCATACTCCACCATCCTGGGTTTTTATACAAAACCTGTGAAGAGGCTGGAAACTCTTCAGAGCTTCTCTCTCACCTAAAAGCTCTCGAAGACAGCTAAGCCCTTTCAGACGTGCCAATCCAACACCAAGCACCACCCATGTCTGAAAGCCAGCACCCCGTGCCAGAGCAGATTTGCTTTAAGAACCACAATACCACATTAATCTTCTCAAAATGTAGCCTGCTTAAACCTGTTGCAAATTACAAGTTTCAATATAGCAGTAATAAATCAAGAGCTGGAGCAATAATTACCATATTCCAGAACTTGTCAAATGCAACCAAAAACCCTGTGCAGACTCCACGAAGGCCTTTGAAAGTGCGGATATGGACGTTGATCCTGACACCGTCTCGGACGCAGCGATGGAGTTCCCCCAACGGGCTGCCCTCATGGACTAAAACAGACAGAACATCACCAGTCTTCAGTAAAACATATATATATATATATAATACGTAGAAACCCACTCTGTGTAGAAGCATAGCAAATCTTGGTGCAACACCTGTCATCACAGCAGAAGAAATGAGAAGCCCCAGAGCACTGCAACACACCGAGGTTCTACTATCATTACTAGATCGCCAAAACTCTTCTTACAGTGGGGACAGCAAAGACTTGAGAAAATATGAAGGTTTCACTTTACATAACCCACAGCCCAAAACCTTTTTGCCACGTTTCAAAAACAAAGTAATGCTAATCTTAAATAGACCTGGTTTGCAGGGAACAGAAAGCCTGTGAGGCAGAAAGTTTCACAGAAAAGACAAAAGCCTCATTAAGGCCACTGCAGATCAGTTACCATCTGTTAATGAAGTATCATTTCAGATGTGTTCCTTTTGTTTATAAGATTTCTGATACAACAAATGACTCAAAATAATTCAACTAAGTTGGATCAGTTCAAACTGATAAAAACATATTGTTTCAGTTAAACCTTCAGCAGCCAGCTGCACATCCTTCAAAGATGTACAAATCTGTGGCAAACAAATAAAATGACTGTAAGAAGCAGCCACCAATGAAACCATGTTAAAGCACAGACCAATAATGCTTTTAGTCAGGACAAACTCAAAGGAGTTCAGTAAAACATCCAGCTTACCTGGTACACACAAGTCTGATCTGCATGCTAGAAATCTTTGCAAGTGTAAGTTATCTAGGGGGCAGATAATATTTACTTTATAACTTTCACCCATGTTATGGGGAAGCCACTGTAGTGATAAATTCCAGCTGTTTGCCTGTGCAAATGCAGCCCCAGGATTGCTGTACAATTCCTACTATGAGTCAGGGAAAAGTATTGGTCTAAAAATCTCACACAGTTCTTCATATGCATAAAATATCCGAGGCAGAGATGCTCTCTTGCCTCGTGCCTTAGGGACTAGGGACACAAGGCTTGATCTGCACACCAGAAAACGCATCATGTGAATGTAAAATGTCACTGCAGGACAGCTGGCCTGCAGTATTTGGCTACACGGTAACTCTTAGCCACAGCAAGGAAATCTAAAGCAGTTTCCTCTGAATTAACCTAACCAGTTATTTTTTGAGATCCATTGTTTCCTTGCCAGCCCCCTCCAGCTGGGTTGCTGAAGAAAACTGCTTTCACACAGAACATAAGCTGCCCAGTACCACTCAGCTTTGCTTACGGGAGTCTTTTCACGAGTCTCTGTGCTTCCTTCAGCTGAGCTGATGACAAATGCATGCTCTGAGCTCACAGGTCCAGCACAGGACCCACAGATGACACCATCCCCACATCAGACTAATGCTTTTAATCAGATTACAGTATTTTTTCTAACCAACCCTGAGAATTTATAACATCATTTTAGATTTAGAATTTTTTTAGATTTTAGACTCCAACATTCTGTTTACATAGGAACTTTATCTGCAGCTTGTTATAAGAATCTAAATACAATCTTTATTTCCAGCTATGCCTTTGCTTGTCAGCACCCCATTAGGCCTATTGGACAACACCACTTTACAGGTCTACCAAACCCAGACAATACACAATCTTCCCATTTTTCTGTGCTGTGTGGGGTCCCAGCCTCACCAGGGGCAGACCTCTGACTTCACCTGATCAAAAGGGCAGAACACATCATCCAAAAACTTTACACGATCTCACATATGCTTCTGGGAAAAAATAAAACAAGCAACATAAGGAATTTACTCTTCTGCAAGCATCAAAGCCTGTCACGACCAGGCTCTGCATGCAGCTAGATCTGCTTGTGGCTTTCGATACTACGACAGACCAGTACTAAAAATTTTCCAATTCGTAGGCAAAAGAGTTACCTAGTTGGTTTTGTGCTCAAATTCCAATTCCCATTTGTATAAAAGAAGCACATGGTTAATACCAGAATTCTGAAAAATGACTAGAAAACTACTGTAAGCTACAGGGCAAGTACACCAGGAGGGAAAAAATAAAGTTCCAAACTCTGGTTAAGTTCAAGTCCCTGTCCTCAGGGTAGACTTTATTAAGAGGCAAAATTTAACGAAAAACAAAACAAACAACAAAACACAACAAAAAAAAAACAAACACACAAGCAAAGCAAGTTAGAACAGCTGAAGTACCTGAGAACACTATCAAACACCTTCCTGACTGCTCTGTGGTAACTGCTTGGACATGAGCTCTCTGTCCCTTGGTAGATGCAAAGTAATTAGAAATAGCTTCTTCTGCACCAAACAGGCACTGCTAAAGCAGCTTCCTTCTTACTGTCACAGCTACATCTGAAATCATCCCTCGTGATAGGTAAGATTTTAACTCCATTTTGCATTTCTTACCCAGGGAATTGACGGAACACACCATACCTTGTCACAGGGACCTGGGAGCAGGGCATCACTGCTGTGGGGTGCAGCAAGCCACATGTCACTGTTACTTTCGGGGCAGCTACTGCCTTAGAATCCAAGGTTCAAACGCTGGCCCCTCCTGCAGTGCAGACAGGCCCTCTGCTTACAGGGAGAGCACACAATTTGGGCTATAAATTGTTCTTAAAACTCTCCAGACTGCTGAATAACACTTTCTATGCCAGTTGTGTCAGTATTCTTCAGAGATTTGGCTGTCCAGCCTTAGATGTGTGGATATCAAATACATGCTCTTAATAGAAGTATGGAATTTATTTGCTAGACCACAACTAATGTTAATTTTTACAGAGGTTTTCTTTGCAATTCCCATCACAATAACCCCAATGCAGCTACTTTGCATTAGGATTCTAAATCAATATTTGAGGTCTGTTCTTTTGGAAATCCTAGGCCAGCAGAACCTCTGCCTTTGTACAGAACACTAAGCTGACAGGATATTTAGCATGATGCAGCACCTAAGGCAATGAATGCATTACGTTTTGGTGTCTAAGCAAGAAAGAAGTTCTGACCTGAGCGTTCAAAACTGAACATTTTTGGCTTTGCCTTTTTCTAGAAAGAATATTAAGGTGATGCTGGCAACTAGAAGAGACACTTTGATTTCCAAAAACATTCAGTAGTTTTAAGTAGGTGCACTAAAGTTACATCTCATTAGAGAGCAATGCTATTTGATGCTTGGTGTAGGTGCACAAGCTGCACCCTTCGTGTTTGGGGGCTATTCCTTCAACCACACACATAAACCTATGCAAGAAACTTGTACCTTCACCACCAATGATTCATTTAGCAACAGCACCACTGCTTTGCATTTCAATCCACTGTTCTATCATCATGCTACTGGAAATGCCAGTGTTGCAGTTATGCCCCCCGAAAGTCCAGAAAGCAGCCAAGGCAGTGTGTTACAGACTCACGCTGCAGTTATGAGTTAACTACGAGCTGCCCGGGCTCCAGTCTGACTCTTGGCTTAAAAATAGTACTTTTGAAACAACAGTAGTTCCTTTTTCCCTTAAAATCAAGAGGATGATCCAGTCTGACTCTTGGCTTAAAAACAGGACTTTTGAAACAACAGTAGTTCCTCATCCTTTTTCCCTTAAAATCAAGAGGATGAACGTAACTAACCAAACAACAGATGCGTAACCTCGGGGTCGGCAGCTCTGCGAAAGGGGCCGCTCCGCGTTCCCGCACGCAGGTTTCCCAGCCTTCCACCGCTCACGCAAGTTTCACTTGCCACCCGAACTCCACCGCTTCCCCTCGGAGGCACCCACACCCCGCCGTCACCCGACCACTTCCACGAGAAGCTGCGGTGGCTTCCAAGAGCCACCGCTCTCTTCAAACTCCCAGAGTCCGCCCCAGCTCGTGCCGGCCACATCC